CCCTCAGGACCAGTGGTGAGAGTGGCGACACTGGGAGGGTGGAGGGTAGGTGGGGTAGAAAGGGGGAACCGATTACAAGGAGCTACATATAGCCTCCTCCCTTGGGGATGGACAACGGAAAACTGAGTGAAGGGAGACGTCGGACAGTGTAGACATGACAAAATAATTATTTCTAAATTATCAAGGGTTCATCAGGGAGGGAGGGGAAAACTGAGAGGCTGATACCAAGGGTTCGAATAGAAAGAAAATGTTTCGAAAATGATGATGGCAACAAATATACAAATGTGCCTGACACAAAGGATGTATATATGAATTGTGATAAGAGCTGTACGAGCCCCCAATAAAATGATTTAAAAAAAAGAACTGAGGTCAAGCTGCCTTGTGTTAGACCGTATCGTTATTCTTACCTTTACCCACTGTCCACTGAAACCCAACTCATTCAACGGTCCAACTCTTCTTGGTTTTCCCATACCCTCTGCAAAAAACTCCCCTCCCTGCCTACCTCCCCACCTTAATAACTGCATCACCATCAAATCTTTAAATCCTCAGTTCTCCTTCTCCCACCAAGGCTCAATAATTCTGTCTTATCAAAGCTCTAATTTCATCTACTCTCCCCCACTCCTGATACAAATGTCAGTAGGTCCTCAACCTTTATCAAGTTTGCTTCAATTATTTCAAATCTTTTTATCTACTGTTTCTGGTAATGTTTAGTCACTTAAATCACATTCCACATTTCAAGTACTTGATCAATATTAATTTGAATGTTATTTTGCCTAACACCATTTAAAGGCTCTCAGCTGCCTACTCATTAAACTCCTTGTGCCCAGGTTTTGGCTCTTTCTTGCCTATCTAGCGCTATAATAATAAAATCCCCTAATGCTCCCCCCACCGCACCCAACAGATATTCACTGTTCCCTGGAAAACATGTCTTCATACCTCTGGATTTGCTGTGCCCTTCACCTCTTGCTGGTATACACATTCCTTTCCACTTGGCCAACTTCTGGGTATTCTTCTCTGGGAGCTATTCTCACTTCTTAGGGTGACTCAATCTTAGAATTTTCACTAAGTTTTAAAAAACACAATGGTTATTCAAAAAGAACTGTCATCTGAATGACTTGGTTAATACAAAAATTGTAAATTATTGGGTAAAATAGGAGTGCCCATTCCAGGAAATACAAGTGCAATGCCAGCACAGGTATACCATGAAAACTCACTATGAGTAAACAAGATATGGGTGAAAAATTGTAATTTATTGAAACTCAACTCAAAAAATATAAGATGCTGTAGTGTACAATATATTACACAAAGCACCCTTAGGTGCACATTCAAGTCAAGTAATAACTCCGTATCCCTTTCCCTAGCCCTCCCACCCTGGGACCTCAGTATTTGTTCCATATACAATCATGCACACTTAATTTGAAAAAGGAAGCCCCAGTATAATTTGATGTATTAATTAGCACCAAACAAGAGTACAGTTCCATTTCTTTGTTTTAATAACAACAAAAAAAAACAACCAACCCAATCAATAAACCAACTGGAGAGCTAATGCACTCAGCCAATACTGCTGACATAGATATTATACATTCATGTAAATACACAGCCTATTCTACCCTAAACAACAGTGTAGCTGGTTCTCAGCCTTTGTTCGAGTTGGCAATTGTCCCAATGTTGCAGTTTTGGAGCCAGTCTGTTTTTAAAACAAAATTGCTATTTAGGAACTTCCTACACAAAGTTCATCTGTCTTTTTTGTTGGAAACAAGTCTAAAAGTGGGGTGGAAAACTTAGATCTTTCAAGGACAACAACTGGCCGAAGATAATGAAGTTGTTTTAAGGCAAGTTCTCCACAGTCTGTTAATGCTTTGTCCAATACAACCCTAAGGTTTTCCAAGGAAGGAACTGCTGTTGTCTCAGCTTCTATGAAAGGTGGGATCGCAGTCAAGTTCTCATGAACTGCAGAGTCACTGGAAGAATGAGGTATGTCAACTGCAGGGTCACTGTCATTCACCATATTATTTGCCACAACATTCCCTGTGAAGTCATTACTGGGCTGTGAAGAGTTACTTAATGGTAAGTGTTCTGAAGGCTCCCAATCATCAAAATCATCGTCTTTCTCTTCACTTTCCTGAATAAACTTCAGAAAAGAAGATTCAAACCCCATAGGCTTGTAAGTCTTCAGATCAAATGATCTGGGCTGTGACTGCTTCCTAAAATTTTCTTTTGAGACGGGATTGGTTGGATTCTTAACAGTGTTTTCTTGCCCTGAACTATGCTGCCCAGTTTCTGAGTCTTTGATCCTTGGTAAAGGCAGCTGGAAACTCGTGAAATAAGTCCCGCTTTCCGTCCCACTGGGATTAGGTATGGAATTTTCTATTTTACAAGAAGGAGGCTGAACTATATTACATTGTTCCAAAGAAGTGGATTCTGAACCGTGGTTACATTTCAAAGTCCCCCTGTAGAGCACGGTATCTGCATCAAATACTGGTTTGCTTTCTGTACACCCTTTCTGACTTCTGTCCTGTCCACCCAGATGAGAGGAATCAGTGCTCTGGACAGGTGTGCTGCTGTTGCCCAGGGAATGGCTGTGCGCTGTGTGCTCTAACTCACAGCTTCCGTTTTCTTGCTTTACACAGGACTCCACTTCAGAGGGGGCCTCCTCTTTAATTTTGGTACCGTACTTAACACAAACAACAAGTTTTTCTAACTGCTGCTCTAAATACGCACTACTCATCTGATGAGTACGTTTGTAATGTCTCACAATGCTGCTTTCCAACTTCACCACAGATAAGCACCCCTGAACCATGCATGGGTACTGCGTGTGCTCAGACTGCTCCACACACATATGGAGGGCTTCAGCTCTTGTTTTAAAAGCAATTGGAGTTTTCTTATCTTTGAATAAACCACATTTTTTAGCCTTGCTACTAAATGACCTCCTGGTGTTCTGATGTCCATTCCCCTGAGTGTTGGTGGTTTGACACACCTTTTCACTCCTTAGTAGCCTTTCATTTGCTACTTTCTGGCTTCTAAACAGATCATCGTAACAGTCTTTATGTCGGTAATACACATGTTGGGAGTAGTTACTACGATGGGTGAAAATCTGTCCACAGCCATTAAGAGCACAATGAATTTCATAATCTGGATGTATTTCTCCTTCAGTATTATGCTGTTCCATCAAGTGATGCTGCAACTTACTGAATGTAGGAAAGACAGCAGGGCACTGGGGCTGACTGCAGGGAAACTTTGCCACAGATTCCGCTTCTGAAAGGCCTTTAGGCTCCTCATCAATGTGGTCTAGGTTATGAGAGTCACTGCAGTGCTTAGCAAGAGCTTTGGAACACAGGAAGCGCTTATTACATTCCTTATATTTGCAAGCAAATATCTTTTTACATTTGACAAGTTCCCTTTTGGTTCTCGCTTTGTCTTTCTCTAAACATAATTGTTCTTTGTTGTACTGATGCACAGTTCTGTAGTGACGTATCAAGCCTTTGAGATTGGTAAATGAGGAATTGCAAGTTTTGTGGATACAATGGAATGGTTTGTGGTATTTGTTCAAAATATAGCAGAGATTTCCCTTAGCCACAGTTCTCCGGCTTCCTCTCCCCTCTCGTCCTTCTTGTTCTTCTCTGTGGTTACCTACTGGCGATGACATATCAGATGTTTTACTTTCGGTTTCTTCACAAGATGACTCCAAGTCTGTTTCTGAACTGCATTCGTCCTTTTTAGAGTGACAGTGCGGTTTCTCGGAAGCGCTGTTGGGGTCGCCTCCAAGGTCTTCGGAACAATCACCTTTCAACCTGTCTGCTGAGCATGGGCCTTCGTGATCACATTTTTCATTGTCCAAGAGTTTTTGGGTTACTCTGTCATTGCCAATTTGATGCTTATTTTTATAATGTATCCGAAGGTGTGTTTTTCTTGTAAATGACCTTTGGCAAATATGACACTGGAAAGGAGAATAGCGATGTTGAAACATGGACAATTGGAGGACTTTTTCTTTTGAATAATTATGCTTCTTAAGATAATGCATTAACAAAGCCTCTCTGGTCACAAACTCATATTTGCACCCTTGAAGCTCACAGAAGAAAGGCTTAGCCGCCAACTGTGCAAGGTATTGACTTGGCATAGTTTCACCTTGATTCTGAAAATGAAGGTCTGAGACAGATGACCCAGACTGGAGAGACGTAGCACCACTGGATGGGTACCCCTGCCAAGACCCTGAGAAAGATCCATGTGTTATTGAGTTTTTCAAGCTTAAATGTTTTAAGCGTAGGAGAAGTTCCAACATGGTGTCCTCTGTACACGGCCTTTTAGAAGCGCCAACGGCGGCTTCTGAGGAGCACTCTTGATGCTCTCTTTTACATTTAGAATGAATGCTCTGATCGAGAACTTCATCTGGGGAGTCACTGCTTAGATCTGAGTTGGGTTTATGTTCAGCATCACACTTTTCAGTTGTTTGATTGTGTTCATTATCCACGCAGGGCAAGAGATCTTTTGTCTTTACCTTTTTGGGTTGGAGATGGTATGGGTGAACCTTTCGTAAGTGCTTCTGCATCCCTCTTGCGTTTTTGTATGTGGAACCACAGCCATCAAATCCGCAAGTAAATTTATTCCCATCAAAACAAACGGCTACATCGGAGCAGTTTTCTTTTAAGCTGGAAGGCGCAAAGACTTTCTCATGGGGCAACAATATATCCTGCATGCTTTCAGAAGGATCCAGTGTGTCGATTAGCTCTTCATTCATGGAAGCTGAAGAGCTCTGACTGAGTTGGTCGCTGGAATTACTGTCGCTGTTTTCTTTCAGCTGGTTCTCTGCGGTTTCTGTATCGAGTTGTGCACTACCTGATTCGGGGCAGAAAAGATCCTCTGGTGAATGTGATTTATCACTTTGGTCAAGTACATGGGGCCGATCAACGCAATCTTGCTTTTCACTTGTTGCAGGCTCTTCAAGCTTCACTGGTTTCTTCATATCTCCATTTGAGCTTTCAGCGTTATGCACTGAGAGGTGGTTCTGGTACTCAATTTTGGAATAGTAGAACTTTTTACAGCCAAGAAAGTTGCATGTGTAAGATGCATCCCTAAAGTGTTGTGCTTCATGGTGGTACAGCTGTCCCAAATCACTAAACACAATATTACAGCCACTTAATTCACATTTATAACGTAGATCATCATGTTTTTGTTTATGGTTCAGCAGCTCATTCACTGATCCAAACCTAGCATAGCAATCTATAGATACACACATATAAGGCTGAGGACCACAATGCACTTGTTCATGCTCCCGCAGGTGAAAAGCAGACATGAAATGTCGGCGACAGTAAGTACACTTCTCTCTCCTATTTTTCATATCCAAATAGTGCTTGGCGTTTTCATCATTATTTTGGTGTTCAGCTTTAAGATGCACACTTAAGTATTTAAATTGCTTAAATACACGGGAACAGTCTGTGCCAGGACATGGGTACAAATCTCTGTCCTGCAGCTGGCGGTCTTCTAACTTGCTGAAGGTGACATACTCATGAGCCTCTCCTTGGGCCTGCTCATCCAATGACTGGTTTTGCTCTGCTGCTGAGGGACTCTTAGGACAAATACCCTTTTGAGAGTTTTTCAACAGTAACTTCTTTCTCGAGCGGTCCCTTCTGCTTGGTGGCATTTTAACATGCTCCATCACATGAGGAACAAACATTTCTTTTCTTTTGAATTTTTTAATACAGACTGGACAGGTGTAAACGCCGTCTTCCATGTGCATCTTAGAGTGATGAAGAATCCTGGCCTCTATGCATTCTCGCTTACATAATAAACAGAAAAACTTATACTGAAGCCACCTTTGGTACCTTTCAGAAGAACCAATGGGTTTTTTGTCTCTTTTCTCCTTATGCTGATCTGTTATATCTTTTCTTCTATATTGTTTATCATCTTTGCTCTCTTCATAGTCACTGAGAAATGACTCTAAAACATCTGTGTCATTAATGGACATTTCGTAGCCACTTAGATCATCATCAGAATCTGAAGCTTCTTGTCCTAGGAGTTGGTGGCAGTGCCGTTTTAAAGTTTTCCAGTCCCAAAATTCAGGATCAAAAGGCCAGTGGGCTTTTAAAGCTAGTAAGAGCTCACATCGGAGAGAATTTGGAACCGGTGCATTTTCTTCATCAAATTTTTGATCGGGTTGCACATACAGCTCTTCTAACATATTAAATCCATCCAAAGTAGGTTCTATTAAGAATTCGGTCAGCTGACAGGCCCGTCTAACTTCTAAGTCTTCTGGTAAAAGACAAGCAATTGTTTTACAGACGGATGCCTTCATTTCCTCATCTTCACTTGATCTGAGCTGAAGAGCTCTCACGCATAATAAAATTGACACCCCGAGGCCAGCCTCTTGTGCCTGTAAAAAAACAAAGAAGATTGTTTTGTTTCACAGAAAAGACATTAATAGGGATGACTTTACTTCCATGGACAAAAGTCTCTGTGAAAAGACAGTTTATTCCGCAAAATCTCTAAGACTTAAAAAATTTATCTTAGAAATCTTTCTTTCTGCAAGTTAACATTCAGATATTTCTGGTCTCAACATGCAAAATATTCTATGAGGTGACAAAGCATGGACAACAAAGTACATTTCTTGAATATCAAACTTTACCAAGTCGTCCTCACTCTCAAGGAAATCTTTTATTAACTATGGGTCAAACCGAAGCAATAAATGTACATGAATTTAAAGGAATTCAGGGTTAAAAAAGGGGGGCCACTGAAGGATTAAAATATAATTTTAAGATAAACAAGCGGCCATCTAGCTCAGAAGCAACAAAGCCCACATGGAGGAAGCACACCAGCTTGTGTGATCACAAGGTGCCGAAGGGATCAGGTATCAGGCATCAAAGAACAAAAAATCATATCATTGTGTGCTCACCTCCATGATACGATCGCTGAAGACAAATGGGTGCATCAGCAAATGTGGCGAAGCTGATGGTGCCCGGGTATCAAAAGATATAGCTTCTGGGGTCTTAAAGGCTTGAAGATAAACAAGCGGCCATCTAGCTCAGAAGCAACAAAGCCCACATGGAAGAAGCACCCCAGCCAGTGCGATCACAAGGTGTCGAAGGGATCAAGTGTCAGGCATCATCGGAACAAAAAATCGTATCATTGTGAATGAGGTGGGGAGTGCAGAGTGGAGACCCAAAGCCCATTTGTAGGCCACTGGACATCCCCTTACAAAAGAGTTGCAAGGAGGAGACGAGCCAGTCAGGGTGTGATGTAGCAACGATGAAACATACAACTTTCCTCTAGTTCCCAAATGCTTCCTCCACACCCACTATCAAGATCCCAATTCTACCTTACAAATCTGGCTAGACCAGAGGATGTACACTGGTACAGATAGGACCTGGCAACACAAGGAATCCAGGGCGGATGATCCCTTCAGGACCAGTGGTGTGAGTGGAGACACTGGGAAGGTGGGTTGGAAAGGGGAACCGATTACAAGGATCTACATATAATCTCCTCCCTGGGGGACGGACAACAGAAAAGTGGGTAAAGGGAGACATCCGACAGGGCAAGAAATGACAAACTAATAATTTGTAAATTATCAAGGGCTCATGAGGGAGGGGGGAGCTGGGAGGGAGGGGAAAAAATGAGGAGCTGATGCCACCGGCTTGGGTGGAGAGTGGATGTTTTGAGAATGATGAGGGCAATTAATGTGCAAATGTGATTTACACAATTGATATATATATATATATGTAATTTTAAACTAGGTAGGAAAGACAGGGCTTAAATAAATGAGGGCAAGAGGAAACACATGTAAAATATTTGTCATCAATACTTAGGTTTTTTGTGGCCCCAAGTTTAAAATAAATACAACTCCAGGTTTATTCCAAAATCTGTTACTCTAGTCACAGCCGTACCTTATCTCAGCTTCTCATGGGATCAAAAGCAGGGGGGTGGGGGCAGGGAAGCTCTACCTAGCAGGTTCTCATAGGTCAGTCAACAATCAGGAAGATGAGTTATGTGTGATAAAAAGTCAACACCTACCACATGGCTTTTAGGTGAGAGTATGAAATAGAATATGAGGGCCCTTCCAAAAGTTCACAGAAAAATGCAATTAAACTATGCTGGCATTTCCCCACAAACATGTTGAAGAAGCCGCCTTGTATGAGGCAGAGAAAAGCAAGACGTGATAGCAGAGGGATTTAAAGTGCAGAGGTTAAGAACAAAGGTTCTGGGGGTGACCAGCTGCTTTGAACCCCAGCTCTACCACAGTGACAAGTTCTTAACTCCTCCAAACCCAAGTTTCCTCGTCTGTTAAATGGCAAAAGCAGCAGCAGTATCTTCCTTATGAGGTTGTCATAAAAAAAAACGAAATATGAACATAAAGTTCTTTTCAAAGCCAAACAAGAGACAGGCCTAAAATGGAACAGAGGACTAGGGAGGTATGCACTTCTTAGAATACATCAACCACTATTTAATAATCAACCATTATAGGGCAGCATTTAGCCAAGGACAAAGTTCAGAAGGATTAGGAAAGCAGGAATGGAAACAGAACACATAGGGAGTAAGTGGAATAATCAATTGTGGGGACTGCAATCAATGACATCAAACAAAAGGTAAATAAATTAAAATGGCTACTATAATGGTGATATTAGTAAATATTCAACAGAATACTGTGGAAAATAATGGAGAAAATTCCATTGTCCAAACCAGTAAATAAGTTGCAAAGCAAATTTGTGTTTGGCACCATTCTAAATGCGGGAAGCACAAAGAACTAATCGCCATACCATCATTTCTCAGAAGGCTGCTCCATCAATATTCCTTTTATACATGAAGTAACAGAGTTGCTAGTCCTACCAGCAAGTAGTGCACAGGGGAGCAAGGGCTGGCTTAGAAGTGGAGTACTTAATCACTCTATAAGCCACACTGACTACTCCCAAGCTAAACGGATTGGCCGCCTACATGTCAAGCCATTCTCGCTCCCTTGTGCCTGGCTAACCCCCACCAATTGATTCACGCCCAATTAAAAAAATAAAAATACCAGGCTTTGGGTTTCTAACTGCCAGGATGGCAATTCCAACCTTTCAGCCACTCTGCGTGATAAAGATGAGGCTGTCTGTTCCTCGAAAGACTTACACTCTCGGAAATCCCACGAGTCAGATTTTATGTGATGGTAGCAGGTTTGTTTTTTTGTTGTTGGCTTAGTTAACCTCATGGCACATCTGCTCAGAATGTATAATATTACCAATTAATTATTTTCTTGAAAAGTGTTCTTAATGATTTCACAAACATTACCATCTCAACCAACCTCTATCTTCTACTTTTCAGTGTTTTTACTACCGAGAAAAAGCTGAATAAATAATCTGGTGGAGGTGGTGGTATACTATCAAAAAGGGCACAATGGTCAAATAAACTAGATGTCTCAAGCATAACCATTTGTTTTCATTTTATCCTAAAACAAAAATCAACGCATTACTATCGCATGGATTCTGATTACTAGGGACCCTACAGGTGATTAGGATACCCCCCACCCCACCCCCAAAGATTGAAACCTTTGGATTCAATCTTTACAGGAGTGGACAGTCTCATCTTTCTCCTGTGGAGCAGCTGGAGGGTTCAAACCACTGACCTTGTGGTTAGCAACTCAACACATACACACTACCCCACCAGAGCTCCTTATTCTATGATATTATTTTAAAATCTTGGGAAATACCCTCTCTATTTATGACTCTCAAGTTATGAAACCAGAGTTTAATAACTTTTAAGAGAGTCTGGTTTAATTTTTTGAAAGCCAAAAAATAAAGAGGTACCACTACAAGGCCCTCTCCATTACATGATATGCCTTCTGCAGGAGCCGGAAAGCTTACTAATATGATTGGTGGGTAGTTGTCTCCCAATAACTAGCCTTGCCTCTTCTACAATGATTTTTACCTGGTGACAGTCATTTGAAATAATATTATTTCCTAGTCTCTGTTGCAGCTTGATGTGCGGCCACATGTATGCATTTTAGGAATGCAACATATTCAGAAAGTGTCTCTAAAGTGTGTGTTGTGTGTGCTGGAGTGAGTGGAAAAGAGGTGCAGCATGCTGTGGCTTTACCCTCTTCCTCCTGATATCTGGGATGGAGATAGATCACTGGCTCTGTAACAGTTCTTAGATTCTGAGATGGAATTATGTGTTGCTGGAAGGTAGGAGGAGCCTGTTTTTTCAATATGTAGCGCTGTGGGGGTACAGTGATTAATGACATGGTACTTTTAGCTAGTTTTTGTTAACTCCCACCAATGACATTTTCCTTATAGGTCTAACAGAAAGTGGGGGAAGATGCTGATGAATTATGATTCAGTGTGAGTGATTATTAACAGGGTTAATTGTAACTGTAAAAATATGGAATTCTAATATGGGGGGTGGTGGTCAATTTTCTCTTTTGCTTTAGGTATTAGATGAACTATCTCAGAAGAAGGAAGGAGGAACCTCACTATCATCAAGAAAGAAGAGTCAAGGGTAGGGTGTGTCCTTCGGAACCCACAATTCCACACAGTAAATCTCCTTGTCCAGAGACAGAAAGCTGTGCTAGTGACACCAGAGAAGCAGCAGCAACAGAACCAATAGCCAGTGCATGGAAGAGTGTGCTGGGCTTCCTGGCCCACAGACAAAGTAGTCCAGGGCCTTCAGGGCAGAGGTTTGCTTGCTTAGCTGAGATGGAGAATACACTTATTGACCCATGAAGCCGGAGCTAGAGCACAGTGCTTATTGGCTGAGGCTTCTGGCAAGGCAGTGCTAAAAGAGCTTGGTAACAGTGCCTGTGAGGGCTGAGACCAGGCCAAGCAGCTGGGAGCCAGAGCCTTGATCAAGGCTGTCCTGATCAAAGAACTGTATCCTGAACATTTAGTGTTCAGAATGGTAACCTATTAACTTCCCTAATACAGCCCATAATCTTAAGTATGGTTTGTGAGTTTTGTGGACATTGCAATTAGTTACCAAACCCATGTGAGAAGTAGCGAGTGTGTAGGGAGGTGTGGCTGGTGTCAGAATTGGTAAAAAGGGCTGGCGGGTGAGAGCATGTCTGATCTCAGCCTCATAGGATTTTGGCTGTGGGCAGCTAATGCTGATAATGGGGATTCTCTTGCACCTTTGTGAAGTCAGAGGTCGTCAGGTGCCACCTCCTTTTTTTACAATGGCTAAATCAACTCTGGACTGTCTACCTGGACGATATATCTCCCTAAGACAGAGGGAGAACCTTCTTTTTCTTTTATGCCACAGCTATTATGGGATATATCCTACATTAGAACCAAAGCCTAAGTGATACAGGCTAGATTATCTCTTAAAGGGGGGGAGGGGGGATGGGTTTCAATTGGAGATTCTACGCTGCTCATCCATCTTCCTACTTCCTCCTACCAACCATATTTCTTCAATTCCATTATAGTAGAAAGTGCCCTAGATTGTGGATTCAAGGGAGATACTTTCTGTTTCTACAGCTAGGAACATCTTTGGTTGGTGCTACAAACCCACTTTCCTTGGCCTTTAGCATTTTTCTCTTTCTTTGTGAGTCCTGTGGTAGGCAAAAATCTAAAACGACTTCCAGTACTCCTAGGTAATCTCAACTGTGAGAAAAATTGATACAAATGATGAGGAATCCCTCCTAGGATAATGTTAGATTATAGGGCAACAGGAATCTTGTCAATGTAACGAAGGTCCCAAAACTTGATCTTAAAATAAATTAGACTATACAGGTGGGTCTACCCTAACCACCATACCCTTTCAATCTAGGGCAAATGGTCAGAATATATACCAAGTCATAACCAAAGTGCAAGAAGGATTCCTTGTGCCTTTGTAGGCTTGAAAATAAAGGCTAATAATGACTGTGGCTTCCAGAAGCTGAAACAAGCCAGTAAGAAAGTCAAGGCCTGTTTTAGTCTTACAATCACAAGTCACTACCATCCATCAACAAGAATGAGTTTGGAAGCAGACCTTTCCCTGAGCCTCCACACAACACAACTGAGCCTAGCTGGCACTTTGATTTCCGTCTGTGGTAGCACGAACAAAGAACTAAGCCATAATTACTTGAATACGTGCATTCTGGGATAGGAGGCAAATTTATTCACAGTGATTAGGAGCAAATGACACCCAGTTTATTTCTGGTATTTATTATACCCATTGTCTTCACTAGAGATGAAATAATAGATTTCAAATAAAGTATAGGATATGGAAAATGACAGCAAACGCAGGAGGAGTGGAGGTAATCAATCATTGATGCAAATATGCCTCAACATCAGTATAAACAATCCTTGGATATTGTCCAAGGAAAAATAAAAGGTAGCCTAGGAAATACAGCTACAAGCCATATACATACAAAAACCATAAGCATATACATATACAGTGAACCCTCGCCACTTCGCGCTTCGACTTCCGTGGCTTCACTCTATCGCGGTTTTTGCATAACAGCGCATACTCTGTCATTACTGCCACTGATTGGCTCATACTGTACACGCTTCTGTCTGCATCGCTACATATCGGAGCTACGTATCAGATGCATTTTTGCT